GGATTACCACGATCGGTCATACCCCGTTTATCTGGTACCACGGGGGCACATGCGGCTCTGGCTGCTCCGGTGGCACCAGGCACCGTATCGCCTGCATCCCCCGTGCCCCTGGGCTCAGCATCTTGGCACTGTGTCCCCGCAGCTGCAGCTCACTCCTGGGACATCGGAGTCCTGGGGCCAGCGGGACCCTGGTGCGACACCGCGCTGTCGGGGTGTCACTGTGCCAGTTAGGAAAAGGCTGTCCCTGGCAGCACGAGGTACAGACCACATGGACCCAGAGCTTGTTGCTGGCTCCTGGCACACTTGTAGCCAGACAGACCCTGGGGACTGTAGGGGAAATTTGCTCTCCCGTGTTCAGGGAACTTTGGCCTCGAGCTGAGCAAGGCACAGAGCTGCAGAGGGCTCATGCTCTGCAGCTGAACTGATTTTAACGTTCTAAAACTCATAGTATGTTTGCAATAAGCTTAATGAGGTTATTTCTGTCCCTTGCTGTTGGCAAGGGCTAATCTCTGCCTGGGGCAGAGGTGCTGAAATGCCAACCCACACTCTGTGCCTGCCTGTGAAAAAAGCATCGAAAGCAACTCTTACCAGGCAGGTGGATCAGCACGGGGGTGGCAAGGTGGCAGCACTGGCACTGCTACTCTCCCTGCTCCGCTCTCAGCTGGCTTCTGGCTCTTTCGCAAGCTCTGCACAGACCTCCCAAGGGCAACAAGTGTAGAGAACCTCTCCGAGCTCTCAACCCCACTGCCGTGCTATGAAACCTCTGCAGGTTGCCTACCTATTTCCCCTTTCCCCTGCAGCCTTGGACTTTGCCCTACCATGCTTGGGCTCATGCCTAGCACTCAGCTAGGCACTGGGGACTATGAGACACTCCATGAGAGTGTGCCAGGGTCAGGCCATGGCATTTTCGTCATGACTGGCTGGTTGATGTCTGTGGGAAAGCCACAGTCCTCAAGCCTGGAAAGAACCCAGAATGTACAGTTTTGGGGGGCAGTGTTTGCTCAGGGCATCCACAACAGCCAGAGGTGCAGTGCGACAAGCAGAGCAGAAAGCAAGTCTCCTCCATCCTATCAGTGGGCTGGCACCCATGCTTGGAGGAGCAGTGACAAGTGACAAGCACAGGAGGAGACTGAAAGTCTCTCAGGCACTGGCTGTGGGAAGCAGAGAAGTGGTGAGGGCTGCAGGACAGCCCATGGCCCAGCAGGACTGTGCACGGGTGATGTGGAGCATCCTTTGAAAGTGAGTCAAGAGCAACTTTTGGCACACACATGCATGCACAGATGCACAGATTTGCTGCTGTAGTCCTCCGTGACCTTGGAAGATTCCAATGACTCTAAGAACTGCTTGGACATAAAGCACCCTGTGTTTGGGAAAAAGTAGAGCAAAGTTGTTTTGGCACAACTCGCCAAGCCTTGATCACCCCAAACTCTGCCCACACCGGGGTGTGCCACCTGTCTGTGCTCCCACAGCCACCACAGGGCTCATCCTTGCTGTGGCATAGGAGGGCTGGCCAGGGTGCCTGGGTGCTGCCATGCATGTGTGTGTGCTGGACTGGCCCAGACAACTGCCAGGCATGTGGTGCCTTTTTTTGGTCACTGGAGCACAAACCCACAGCTAGTAGTTTCACTGACCAGTGGGTCAGGGCTCAGCTCTGGGGGAACTCTGCTGGATCAAGCACTTTGATTTCAGCCCCTGTATGGCTGGTGGTGGGTGACAGGCAGTGACAGAGTGCTTGTAGTAGTGGCCCTCAGGCTGCTCCTGCACACTTCACCCAGGGGAACAGCACACATAAACACTGTCTGATCTTAATAGGACTTAATTGGTGTTTTACAGGGCCTGAGTGCACTAATAGACCTCAATGACCACAAGCAGCCTCACCTGAGCCAAATCCCCCCACCCACATGCCAAATCACTATTTAAGCTCATTACTTAAGCTCAGTCTAGGGTCCTCACTTTATGCCTGGCTGTGGTCCCTGGTGATGTGGGCTCTGGCTCAGTCTTAGCCCCAGCTCATTACAGAGGCTCATTGTGGCTCTCCCTCCTGCCAAGGACAAGCAGCCCTCTCTGAAAAGCATGCTGCCAGGACCAACAGTGCCAGAGGAGGAGAGCCAGCCTGCCTGGAGCACTGAAGCTGTTGATGGTTGACAGAGCCAGGACCTCTTGCTTACCTGCAGGAGGTGCAGGTAAGGCTCAGAGTTGGGGCTGCCCATCAGACTGGGTGAGGGTGTATTGCTGGGCTGTGAGGAAGGGGCTGGCTCTGCAGTAAACTGCCTTGTAGCCTGGAAACGGTGACCACCAGGAATTGCTGTGAATGCACTGTACCCCCTGAGAGACTGAAAATCCTGTGGAGGGAAAAAGGAACTGGGAAGCTCTGAACAAGAGCTTCAGGAGCAGGTTGCTGCTGTGAACACCACCCCCTGTTACACACTGGATGGATCAACTCTTCAGTCCCACTATCCTTTCCCTATAGCCCACTGGGAGCCCTGTGCCTATGTCCTCATTGCTCAAGATCTGATCTTAGTGCAGTACTTCAATTGAAGGCAATAAGGAAGAGGTTGCTTAGGGTGGTAGAGCTCTTCATTACCCTGAGGAGAGACCCCTGTGAGTCCCCTCCAGGCAGACATTATGGAGCAGGCTGCACAGGATATACTTATGACAGCAGCATGACCAGTGTATTTATAGGATACAGATACATGGGTGATTGTAGAGAAATCTCCACAAAGTCACAGCTACCACATACACCAGGGGCTATTGCAGCAGGTGCCCAGCAAGAGCATGCAGGTTCACAGTATTAGCAGTGAGCTGCCAGATGAACGTGCTGAGCCCTCCCCAGGCTCTGCAGAGACTGAGTTTTGTCACAGGAGAACAGTCAGTGCAGCTGCTTGGCCAGTGCAGACCCTGCCTGACAGCTGACCAGGAGGGCAAGACAGCACCAAACGTCTAAGTGCAGGTGCAGGATCCTGCAGCACCGCTCGTGTAGAAGTCTTGGCTGGACTGATGGGGTGTGGGGTGGGAGTTGAACTCCCAGTACTCCCTTTATGTGCATACTTGGAGTGCCCACCCAGGCGCCCTCCTGTGTGAGGAGCCCATCCGTCAGCGGCTCCAGAGCGCGAAGAGTGCAGGCGCATTGAGCGGGGACAGCCAGCAGGACTCCACCACGCCGTACAGCGCGTAGCCCAGCAGCAGCCCGAACAGCACGTCTGTCATGTTGTGCCTCCCCAGCATGACCCTGGAGATGCTGACGATGAGGGCCCAGAGCACCACGAGCACCCGCAGGGGGATGGCCAGGACCAGGTGGCGCAGGATGAAGCGGCAGACCAGGGCGGCTCTGGTGGCGTGGCCAGAGGGAAAGGAGTACTTGTCCACCGAGATGGTGACGAACATGTCCATCTTGTTGTGGGTGGGCCGCGGCCGCTTGACGATCCCTTTCACCACCGCTACCATCACCAGGTCCAGCAGCAAGGCTAGGAGACAGCAACACGGCGTTACTGAGAGCCATTGGCTAAGAAGAATCACAGAATCGTTAAGGCTGGAAAATACCTCAGATCACTGAGCCCAACCTATGACCTAACACCACCATGTCAACTAGACCATGGCGCTGAGTGCCAGGTCCGGTCCACCACCTCTCTGGGCAGCCCTTTCTAATGTCTAATCTCCCCTTCTGTAAAGAAATTCTTCTTTATGTCCAACCTAAGCAGAGAAAGCACTTGGCTGCCCAAATCTGCTCAGAGAAGGCAGTGTTTTCCATGGCTACAGTACTCGGGTGGGGAGAGCGCAGCACTCATCCACACTTGGCCTTCTGCAGCAGGAGCACATCTCCAACCTCTGCTCCTGCTGCACACTGCCCCCTGCATCACCAGGCCCTCTGCCTGCCACAGCCAAGACAGGGCTCTGCCCAGCCTGCACCCCAGGGTGTTTGTGTAAAGTCTTGTGATTTGGGGCTCAACCTGCCCCTTAATCTGAAGGCAGTAGAGAGATTAACATTTCACACAACTCCCCTCTTGGCAGTGCTGACTCAGCGTTGCTTTCCCTGCCCAGGTGACTGGGGTCAAACCAACTGGGTAAATGATCAACCCACTCAGCCACAGCTCAGTGTAAGGGGCTCTGAGCTGGACTGTGCCAGGGCTCACAGGGTCTGGCTTTTCCCTGCTGCTCAGTGGGAAGTGAACCACGCTTTGGCTCCCAGGAGATGAATAAAGAAGGATTTAAATAATGGTGGCTTGTTCCCTGAGAGCTAAGGGCTGTTGTGGTAGAAGAGGCAAAGTACCTGTGAGAAGTGTTCGGCCAGTATTTGGCAAGAGCAGCTTCTCATGTAGGGCAAAGGGTGCTTCCTCCATCCCTGTTAGCACAGCTCAGCTCAGCACAGCTCTTACAGCCAGGGCTACTTATTCCAGGGAAGTCTTGTTAGAGACCAACTTCTGCTTGTCCTAAGCCTTGTTTCTGGACACCAAATCTTTCAGTCACTTCATTTCCTTTGGTTAATCATTTAAGAACAAATATTTTTTCCCATGTGTGAACTTGGATTTTTCTCTTTGTACATGGGGTTTGGGAGACTCAGCTTACATGGGGGGGAATGTTTCTTTCCCACAAGGGTGCTGCAGCCCTGGGACAGGGCCCCAGGGAGGTGGGTGAGTGGCATAGAGCACTGAGGCTGGACAAGGCCGTGGTGCTGGCACAGGTCTCCTTGGAGCAGAGGTTGGGTCAGAGACCTCCAGGTCCCTTCCCACAGCTCTGCTGTGGGACTGTAATTTAACCATGTGCTGCTAGATGAAAAAGATGCACAAACTTTTATATTTCCTACCAAGCAGATTTCAATTCAAATTACAACTGTGAGGTACCAACTATTTGCAACTTCTTACTCTTGTGTTAATCAGGAACGTAGAAAGCTCTGGAGCTACTAGAGTTTCTAAATAGGCAAAAGTGAAGACTCCAAGTATACCTTTGATACTCTGTGTGTGTGTGTGTGTGTGTGAAATACTTTGCCATGCAAGATTAGAATGCATGCTTTAAACCAAGTTTCCTCACTTGCTGATACAGATCCATCCTGCCTGCAGGCAGCCCAAGTAGACATCTGTGTGCCAGAGCAGCTTTTCAGGGATCAGGCTGGTGTCTCAACAGTTGGCAGCTGCACCTAGAATGCACTGTTCTGATAAGCCTGAACAACTAAAACAGACTTCGGCACTTTGAAAGCTTTATGTAACAGCAGTTTATCTGTCAAGAGTTGCACAGCGTGTGGTTGGAGCTGTGCCATATGAGCCATCCTGTGCCACCACAGCCTCCAGGGCACCAGGCACCGCAGAGGAGCTCAGCTGGGGCCCTGGGGGCTGTAGGGGGCTGAGGTGTGCTCAGCTCCGCCCCGTCCCTCGCGTCCCCCCCTCCCCCGTGCCTACAGCGCGCTCGGGCGAGCCCCGCGCCTCACCGAAGAGCAGGTTGAGCAGCACCTCCCTGGCGGCCGATCTGTCACTCTGCCAGAGCCCGTAGAAGGTGCCGAGCAGCCAGGGGATGCCGTGCCCCGAGACCTCGATGACCTTCATGAGGGGCCGGGCGCTGCCCCAGGCCGAG